TTGTTTCTCACAGTCTGAGTCTACTTTTAGGTGCTTTTTTGCAAATTCCAAGTGTGTTTTCATGTGTCGTCACTGAGGAGAGGATTGAGTTTGGCCACACCGCCATAAAGCACAGATTGGTGGAGTATTGCAGTGATGTTTGTCCTTCTGTAGGTTTCTCCCTCCTGCATATACAATACGATCATGGAGCTCAACTAGAGTGACCATCAGGTTCTTGGTCACCAGTCTAGACAAGGCCCTTCTCCATCAATTGCTCAGTTTGGCCAGGAGGCCAGTTCTAGGAAGAGTCCTGGTTGTTTCAAACTTCTTCCATTAAGGGTAACAGAGATTATATGCTTCTGTGAACCTTCATTGCTGCAGACATTTTTCTGTACCCTTCCCCAGATCTGTGCCTCGGAACAATTCCTTGGACTTCATGGCTTGGTTTGTGCTCTGTCATGCACTTTTAACTGTGGGAATTTGTATAGACAGGTGTGCCTTTCCAAATCATGTCCAATCAACTGAATTTACCACAGGTGGACTCCAATCTAGTTTAGAAACATCTCAAGGATGATCAGTGGAAACAGGATGCACCTAAGCTCAATTTTGAGTGTCATGACAAAGGCTGTGAATACTTATGTACCAAGGTTATTTTCGTAAACTAAGACGAAAACGATTGGTCAAAAAACATTTTCATAAACTGAAATAAAATAAAAACATCAAAATAAATGAAAAACTAAAACGGAACTAAACTAACAACAGTTATTGCAAAACTAACTGAAATAAAATAATTATCAAAAATAAATAATCGTTTTCGTAATCATTACATTCTCACCCCGTGGTGGAAAAATATATGAGCTGTGTGTCGGTTTAGGGAAATACCTGTAAATGGCGCATCATACACGTGAGGTTATCTGATGGGGAGACGCAAAGCAGTTTAAAGCAGAGTTTGAGTTTGGCCACACCGCCATAAAGCCCAGATTGGTGGAGTATTGCAGTGATGTTTGTCCTTCTGTAGGTTTCTCCCTCCTGCATATACAATACGATCATGGAGCTCAACTAGAGTGACCATCAGGTTCTTGGTCACCAGTCTAGACAAGGCCCTTCTCCATCAATTGCTCAGTTTGGCCAGGAGGCCAGTTCTAGGAAGAGTCCTGGTTGTTTCAAACTTCTTCCATTAAGGGTAACAGAGATTATATGCTTCTGTGAACCTTCATTGCTGCAGACATTTTTCTGTACCCTTCCCCAGATCTGTGCCTCGGAACAATTCCTTGGACTTCATGGCTTGGTTTGTGCTCTGTCATGCACTTTTAACTGTGGGAATTTGTATAGACAGGTGTGCCTTTCCAAATCATGTCCAATCAACTGAATTTACCACAGGTGGACTCCAATCTAGTTTAGAAACATCTCAAGGATGATCAGTGGAAACAGGATGCACCTAAGCTCAATTTTGAGTGTCATGACAAAGGCTGTGAATACTTATGTACCAAGGTTATTTTCGTAAACTAAGACGAAAACGATTGGTCAAAAAACATTTTCATAAACTGAAATAAAATAAAAACATCAAAATAAATGAAAAACTAAAACGGAACTAAACTAACAACAGTTATTGCAAAACTAACTGAAATAAAATAATTATCAAAAATAAATAATCGTTTTCGTAATCATTACATTCTCACCCCGTGGTGGAAAAATATATGAGCTGTGTGTCGGTTTAGGGAAATACCTGTAAATGGCGCATCATACACGTGAGGTTATCTGATGGGGAGACGCAAAGCAGTTTAAAGCAGAGTCATTCACTTCAGCTGTAGCGCGAATGCGCAATGCTGCAAATCGAATGAACATATTTAAATAAGCCTTTAATGTTAAATGCCATTGTCTCTCCTTAAACTCTGCAGTGTGTGGCCGTTAGTCCTTTACAGAAGCATTAAAAATAAAACTTAAAAATAAAATGATATATAGGCTACAGAAAGCAGCAGCTCCCTAAGCTGTCTTTCACTCCAGCTGCAGCGCAAATGCGCAACGCTGCAAATCAAATGTTGTTAAGGCATTATTATTGAATTTCATAAGTTCCACTTATGATTTATGTGCGTTTGTTTGCGGGAAAGTGAACAAGACACGACAGTTATGGTATCATGATTCTGGTTAAATAAGATGAAAGACATAATATAAAGAAATTAGCTACATTTATTTTCAAATTAAAAATCACAACACACATGTATCATTAAGTAGTGCGTTTTAAATATAATGTAAGTGCAACTTGTGTAGATTTAAAAAGCCATGACTGCTTCATTTTGACGTGTATTTGTATACTTTTACCATCTAATCATTCTCAGCATGCTCAGTTTGGCCAGGAGGCCAGTTCTAGGAAGAGTCCTGGTTGTTTCAAACTTCTTCCATTAAGGGTAACAGAGATTATATGCTTCTGTGAACCTTCATTGCTGCAGACATTTTTCTGTACCCTTCCCCAGATCTGTGCCTCGGAACAATTCCTTGGACTTCATGGCTTGGTTTGTGCTCTGTCATGCACTTTTAACTGTGGGAATTTGTATAGACAGGTGTGCCTTTCCAAATCATGTCCAATCAACTGAATTTACCACAGGTGGACTCCAATCTAGTTTAGAAACATCTCAAGGATGATCAGTGGAAACAGGATGCACCTAAGCTCAATTTTGAGTGTCATGACAAAGGCTGTGAATACTTATGTACCAAGGTTATTTTCGTAAACTAAGACGAAAACGATTGGTCAAAAAACATTTTCATAAACTGAAATAAAATAAAAACATCAAAATAAATGAAAAACTAAAACGGAACTAAACTAACAACAGTTATTGCAAAACTAACTGAAATAAAATAATTATCAAAAATAAATAATCGTTTTCGTAATCATTACATTCTCACCCCGTGGTGGAAAAATATATGAGCTGTGTGTCGGTTTAGGGAAATACCTGTAAATGGCGCATCATACACGTGAGGTTATCTGATGGGGAGACGCAAAGCAGTTTAAAGCAGAGTCATTCACTTCAGCTGTAGCGCGAATGCGCAATGCTGCAAATCGAATGTTAAGGCATTATTATTGAATTTCATAAGTTCCACTTATGATTTATGTGCGTTTGTTTGCGGGAAAGTGAACAAGACACGACAGTTATGGTATCATGATTCTGGTTAAATAAGATGAAAGACATAATATAAAGAAATTAGCTACATTTATTTTCAAATTAAAAATCACAACACACATGTATCATTAAGTAGTGCGTTTTAAATATAATGTAAGTGCAACTTGTGTAGATTTAAAAAGCCATGACTGCTTCATTTTGACGTGTATTTGTATACTTTTACCATCTAATCATTCTCAGCATGCTTTAATTTTGTGTCCCTAGACATTTGCGTCACTAAGGTTAAATTAGACTAAGCCTTTTTTGGCCTGGGCTCTGGAAGTGATCTGTTAATTCTGCTAAACTTTAATTCGCCTACTAAAACTAAAACTGAAACTAAACTATATAAAAACTAAATAGAAATGTGTTCACAAAATAAAAACTAAACTAACAAAATTATTAATGAAACTAATAAAAACTAAACAATTTTATTGCAAATTTGAAAAGGATATTAAAATAAAACTAATTTAAAAAATGCAGAACTATAATAACCTTGTAATGTACTTATGTGATTTTTTTTTTTCTTTTCATTTTTTTTTTTTTATAAATTTGCAAAGATTTCAAACAAACTTCTTTCACGTTGTCATTATGGGGTATTGTTTGTAGAATTTTGAGGAAAATAATTAATTTAATTTTTGAGACTAAAGTCTCAAATCCAAAAAGATATTCTTTATAAAAGTTAAGAGTCAACCACGCCAACCTAAACGCTTCGTACTGACACGCCCCCCACATGTCTACGTCAGGATGTGGGAAGATTTGCATAACGCCGCCCAAATGTTCACGCAAAGAAAGAAGGCGTAACTTTTATTCTCACTGTAGTATTGTTGTTGCTGCTGCCGCCATGTCGTGAAGGTGCTGTGTTTTTAATTGTGAAAGCGAAACTACTTTGTTTGGTCTTCCAAAAGAGGACACGGCTAGAAATCAGTGGTTAAGTTGTATTTACAACACTGTTCCAGAACACTTCAACCCAAATATTAAGATGTGTGCAGCGCATTTTGTGGAGGACTGTTTCCTGATCCTGGGAGAGTAGACTACAATGCCGGCTGTTCTGACTCACAGACTGCAAGTACATTTTTTATATTTAAAGGATTTGCCACTGATGATTCAAACGTGAGTTTTGAGCAGTGTAGAGTAGGGCTTGTTGTTTGTCATTTCTCCGATCACAAATGCAGACATGGTTTTATGTTTACGCAGCACGATGCAACGCAACGCGTAAAAAGACAGTACAAGTCATTATAATCTGTAATTATGTCCCCACTGGATGCAACAAATGCCTCGTTTATAATGGGTTTTTAATGTTGTTGTCTCGTCGCTCCGCCTGGGACACAGCATCAGAATATGGTAAGGGACGTAACATTTCCGTCACACGCTTGAGGTATTCGGCCAATCACAACGCACTAGATAGCTGGCCAATCAGAGCACACCTTGCTTTTCAGACCGATGAGCTTTGTAAAAATCGACGTGTTTCAGAAAGGCGGGGCATAGAGGAGAAACAATAATGCACAGTATGTGGAAAATAATGTTTTTTTTTTTAACCTTAAACCCCAAAAACACATTTCATTAACCAAAATACACAAAATAATGTTATTTTTAGCAACATCATATGACCCCTTTAATGACAGAATTTTTGGGTAAACTATCTCTTTAAATTCAATTCTGAGAGGCACACAAATAGAAAATGAAGAATTTTACTTGTAGAGCTTGGATATTTGAATGTGTGTGTGTGGGTAAAATCTTAAAACTGATTCTAATAGATATAGCCTAGCTTTAACTGGCTCCTAAAAATGAAACAGCACTCCATGTTTCCTTAAACGGCTAAAGGTTGAAACACTACATTTCCCATCATGCACGAGACACATTAGGATGTTGATGTTTTAGCTTGAATACAGAGAGGAGGGCGCTCAGAGCTGCACACAGAGCGCGAATCACCGAGCACACGCGCTCATACAGCCCAAGCTCAGATACCAGTCCACGCAGCCAGTGATGTCGGCGCTCTAGTCTCCACTCCCATTGGTGGACGGACGCTTGTCAAACACAGGCTGCACGTCTCGTTCTCAATAGTTGGACAACACAGCCCCGGCAAACAAGGCTCCCGCCGTGTGTCAGAAGGGAAAGCGCGGCAAGAAGTGCGCAGAGGAACCTCAGCTGCTCTTTAGTGTGTCCTCTCCGCACATTTCCTCTCCTTGGGATAAGGGACAGTCGTCGGGACTCGCTGCAGACAGCATGCAACGCAGATCCTCAGAGAATACTGGCTTTAACTGTCAGGTAGGATGGAGCGTCCCGAGAGTCTGGCGTCTCTGGCGTGTCCTTGAGAGATTTTGTGTGCATCTGTTGAGACGTGGTTGATTCAGCATTGAATTCTTGTAATATAATGGCTAAAGATGCCTTTTTCATTCTGGTTGTTATCTTCTCCTACACTCTTTCTCTCAACCTTCCGGTTTGCGTGTTCTTGGAGCTATTTTAAAACCTCCTTCCCACGGTTTCTCAGTTTCTCGTCTTTTCCTCTCTCTCCTCGTGTCCTTTTCATCTTTCATCTCTGAGGGAAAGGAATTGCATCTAGTTGTCGGAGGGGATGAGTCTGATTCAAACCGAAGGGATGAGCTTTAGAAGCAATAAAGAAGCAGATGTGTGCATAAATGTGAGGACATAAATAGCATATACGGAGTGAAAAGTGGAGGACGGCAAGGTCAGAGGAAGAAAACATTGTATCCAACAGCAGAAAATATTTAGGTCGATGATGAACGAAGCTGTAAATGTGTGTTTTAATTATGCTGATGAGGCATGGGCTGTTTGTGTGAGCGTCATGCTAGTGCGCACCACTTTCGGTTCTCTGGAAGGATGCTGATGCTGATCCTTCCATTGCCATGGTAACCGCAGCCATCTGTAGGGATCAGTCCCGCCGCTCGACCAATCGAACGGCACTGATCCCATTCATCCTCCCTCAGCTTCTTCAGCCCAATAATCCCCTCTCTCACCGCTCACGGTCGTTACTGCGCGATCACGGTTTTGACGACTTACACGCAGGGAAATCTCTAGGACAGACGAACAGAGTGGGTGAATAACGTGACCAATGGCTGGTGACATACTGTGCTGTTTCGATTGTTTAAGGGGTCTGGCATCGTGATCTGGCGCTGTGCTGAAGAGCGATCTTTTATGAAAACGACTGCATGCAGCAAATGCACGTTATCATTTAAAAAAGTTTCATAGGCAGAATTGGGTCACAAGGCACCGTGACCCAGAAAACTGCATGCAGAGCTTTGTGTGCTGAAGAAGATTAACAGGAAGTGATAGCATTTCGGTGTACAAAGGCCTGTTTACGGCAAATCCAATGTGACTAAGCGACACAAAATTATAAAATGGCCACACCAAAATGATTTGTGCTGCTTCTATTGTTAAATATTCAACGATATTGATTAATATCGGTGTTATTTTAGTATTATTTGCATAGTTTTTTCATTTTGAATTAGCTTTAATTTGTATTATTTGTATTTCTTTTCCATTTTTATTAGTTTTTTTTTTTTCAAATTTCCAAATAGTTTTAATTTATATATCAGTTAGTTGCCTAGGAAACTTTTTTTTTTTTTAAATGCATCTAATATGTATATTTCATTTCAGTTTTATTTCAGTTAACAGAATGTTTTGTAATAGCTTTAGTTAACGATAACAATAAATTGTTAATCGATGGTGGATCTTTAATTTAGCTAATTTCTCTTATTTTTACAAGTTAATCATTAAAAGAAAATTTAACACTGCAATCTATAAATTAAATTTTATGCTAATATCAAAATTAATAAAAAAAATTCATACTGTACATTATAATGTTGTGATGTTTAAATTCATTATTAATAATGCGGTGTTTTTGTTGTTTTATTTCGTTTATTTTGTTAGTTCATTTAGACAAAACATTATAGAATTTTAATTTATTGGTTATCTACTATAACATGAAAATATTTTTTAAGAAATTTAATATCTGTGGCTTCCATAATGTATTTAATATTTTTTATTTAATAAATGTATTAAATAAGTTTTATCCCGCATTAACCAATAATGGTAATGTAAAGTATTTTACAGAGATGCATTGTTTTGTTAAAAATCATGTTTGTGTGTCATAAATTCTGATCTACAATGAATATGACTTAAAGCCCCCATGACATTAGAATCTATATGCCTCCAACTTCCTGTTTCAAAAGGAAATGCATCAACAAAAGACAGAAAACTGCACTCATTAAGCCATTTCGTGGGGTCTTCAACTCAACATTTGTGTGTGTCACCTTTAAACTTCCGTTGTTTATTTATGCTGTACTTTCGAGAGAACATCGCCTGAAGGAGCCTCCAGGCCCTCAGCTTCAGTTCAGCCACAGTTGACTGGACGTTCCTCCTCAGAGGCGACTCTGTCTGCTCTGATTTTAGGAGTGAGAATCATTAGTCCAGGAGTATCTGATCTTCTTTCATCTCCTGCAGAGCCTTTAGGAGTTGTGATGAATTCGTGGTGCTATACAAATCCCAACACAATTCTCGGCTTGTTGTTGTTTGGCGATTACTCTTCGCATTAAGGTTCCTTGATACCCTGAGCGTAAAGCGATCCGGCATCAATCTCCTAAAGTCTTAAAGTCGCTCATTACAGCTCACTCACTCCGGATGGAGCAGAAAAGCCACATCCGTCGTGCACCATATATATATATGACCTTTTTATCCGCTATTAACCCTCTCCATAAGGCCGTTGTGATCTAATGCTTGATTTCATGTCATCATAAAAACATGCATTTGATGAAGGTTTATACATCCTCATGTCCTCATAATGCCTCTTTGTCTCAACGCAATTTTGCGTTATTAGTGGAAAGAGTTGACCGAGGTCTCCTTAGATGCAGAGAGAAGACTTTGAGAATGCTATCAGGGCTGGAGAATGAAGATGTTAGTGTAAATTCAGATCGTAATTCTTACCAGAAGGCACAAAAGAGCCTTTCAGAGCAGGAGCTCTTACTATTCAGTCTGCTGTCTGATGAGATCCATTGCTATTCAGGAATGTAGTGTGAATATACATGGACATGCACTTCTGCAGTTAATGGATGCTGTTTAGAGAATATGAACAGTTCTGGCTCTGGAATTTCCTGTAAGATGTCAAATATGTCAGGAAAAAATGACTCTACAAACCACAGGAGTAAAATATATGGAAACTTAATGCATTCACAACACCATTTGTCTTGTATCTATGTTGATTTGTTTTGTACTGTACAGTATTGTTTGAACACAGATGCAAAGAAACATGCATGTGGGTAGTATATATCCCTCATTCAAAGTGTCCCAAAGTGTCTTCTTCCATCGTTCCTCTTCTGCTTTTAACAGTGGCCTTCTTTGTCATTGTTAAATGGGGCATGAGAAGACAGCAAGAGGGTGTCTCTGGAAAGGATGAAGTGCTGGAGATACTCTCCAGCTGCTGGAGATAGATAGGCAGCTGTTATCTTCAGGTTCTGGGAGATGTTGGACGGCTAGGTTTTGGACTTGGAATCTTTAAATCTGTATGGTATTTTTTAATGGCAGATGTTCATATCTTAAATGAATTGAATGAAATAAATAAATGTAATATATATTTTTAATAAAAACAGTCAATATAAACATATTATTTTAAATCAAAATAGTCAGTTGAAAAACTTGAAATTTCCAATTTGGTGGTAAAGGGTTAACAGTAATAAGGCATTATGAGAAATTTTCCAAAGTGGTATAATAATTTCCATTTCCAAAACATTATTTTGTTCCATCAGACTCCAGATACTGTGCCTTCCTCTGTCAATTCATGTCAGTTCAGTTTTTTTTTCTTTTTTTTTTTTAAATTCGGAATAACAAATTCGGTAAGTTGTGCACAAACAGACCAAATGCATGTATTAAAAAACCAAACAAACAAACAAAAAATGGTCATGTCATTTTGATGTCATGTTGACTTAAGCAACATTCATGTGTTTAAGCCTGTGGAAATGCTGGTTTGTTTGTGTTTGTGGAAGACAGGGAGGGAATCTGTTTGTAAGTATAAAATGAGGTCAGGACAGATTATTTAAATATGTAATGGAAAAACTGCAGCATTCGTTGCATCCAGTGGGGACATAATTATGGATTATAATGACTAGGGATGCACCGATATTAACATTTTGGCCGATACCGACAACTGATCATTCTTTAAAACTGCACTCACACAATTATATTTAGTATTTTCAAAAGATCATAGGCCTATATATATATATATATATATTACAGAAAGTATTTATGCTCTCTTATCCAATTGCAGTTAATCGATTCGCATATTATGTAAATCAACTTTTTGACAGCTTTTACATAAAAATAAAATAAATAAAGCTCTAAATTGCTCTCCTCTGTATGAAACCGGCATGTGAGAGTGACCCCAATCCCTCCCCCACCTCTGCCCTGCATGTGTGTATGTAAATCTGTGTCCACATGTGCGAATCTGCTTCATCATTATTCAGTCCTAGCAGCCGCGATCATGTGACTCGGTGTGCCGCTTATGCTGAGAGTGACCGAACGACGGAAGGACATAAAGTGGAATACAAAGAGAGTAGTGTTGTCACAGTACCAAAATTTCAGTATTCGGTACCAATACCAGTGAAAATCCACGGTTCTTGGTACCAATTTCGATACCAAAGCAAAACACAAAAACATGCTAATTAAAAAATGTGACTATACTTTAATTTAATCCAAAATGTGCACATATTTAATTTTAAAGGGCTTTTAAAACCTTCTAGAGTTATTCAGCCAAGAATAACCATAATAAAAGTTATAGGACCATTAAATAGTTAATAAATAAGCTTCATTCTAATGCTCATTATATTAGCGTTAGCCACACTTATGCTAACGATTAACTACTCTAATAACTGCGATGTTCATTGCAATCCGACATTCAAATTAAAATATTGAATAATATTCATTAGGGGTGCTCTGATCAGGATTTTTGAGGCCAATCGCCGATCACAGAAAGCAGTATCTGCCGAACCGATCACCGATACCGATCTTTTAAAGCCTTCTTTTTATCATCTATAACTATTTATAGTGATACTCCAATCTGGATTTTTAGACATTTATTCAGGGCCTGAATTTCATTTTTGAAAATGGGGGGAGTGACTCTTTTGAGAGGGGAAGCAGCACGGACTGTGCTTTCACACAGGAGTCCGCTACTGATCCGTTGCTGTTTACTACCTGCAAACACAACATTTATCCATTAGTTTGATTTCAAATCCAAACATTGTCACTGAAAATACTTT